TCTTGTACCCTAAGCCTGTCTCAAACTTATCATGCAGTTGAGAATGACGTTAGATTCCTAACCCTCCTGTCTACAGTTGCATCACACCAAACCTGGATGACTTTAAAAGGCAGTTTTCCCATCCCAATGGTCTCTACTGAGCAGCTGACTATTCACTGTGAGAACTCTTGCAGGATACCTTTGCCTCAATGTGTGTGCTTGAATTTACACTAGAAATGCATTGTGCCTTTATTTTAATAAGGCCATTACTCAAGCTTGGGAAGGTTCCAAATTTTAACTTTCAAATATTCGGTTCTTGAACTTGAACTGCACACACATTGATGTACTTGATGGTGTCTGATCGGTCTCTTAGGAACTGTTCACTTTTCATTTTTTTCTCCTTAGAGTGGAAACTTTCAACCATTCTCATTTCACCGATTCTTCCACTCATTTGCCCTTGGACCTTCAATAGTGAGTTTTCCTGCTATGGCATTAAAAATATTATTTATTTAATTTTATTATTTATAGTGTGTGTGTGTGTGTGCAGGTACCTGTGGGGGCCAGAAGAGAGCTGGAGATGGAGTTATAGGTGGTCGTGAGCCACCAGATGTGGATGATGGGAACTTAACACCAGTCTTCTGAAAGAACAGCAACTGCTCTTAACAGCTGAGACCATCTTTTCAGGCTCCCAATTGCATTTTTGATGATTAAGTTACAGATTATTGGTTAATATTAAGGCATTCTTGGCATCAGAATTTCTACTTGATGTATAATTCCTTTTGCTTAGCATTTAAATTAATTTATTTAGAGTGTATGTGTTCACATTTGCTATAGTGCACAGGTGGAGGCCAGGGAATACATTTGGGAGTCAATTCTCTCCTTCACCATCGGAGTCCTGGGGACTGCGCTCAGGCTGTTAGCCTTGGTGGCAAGCACCCTTACCACTTGCCCCTCGACTCATAATTTCTCTCATATATCTTCTCTAGTGAGACATTAGTCTCTCAACCTTTGCTCTTTGTTCATGGTTTTAACTTACTTAACACATTAAAGTTCTTGTCTAGTAATTCAGTGCCTATAATTGTCCAGTCACAGGTTACTTTGCTATGAATGAGCTATAGTTTCTTTTCTTTTCTTTTTTTTTTTTTTTTTTTTTGTACAACTACTTGTTTTGTTTTTATAAACTGAGTATTTTGGGAATTAGTACAATTGTAGAATCTGCCCCCTCAACTTCTGCTGTTACTGCTTGCAGCACATTATTCTTTTTTAGTGACTTTTAAAAGCAATGTTTTTGCTGGGCTTGGTGGTGCATGTCTTTAATTACAGCACTCCAGAGGCAGAAATTTGTGAGTTCAAGGCTAGCCTGGTGCACATAGTTGAGGCCATAGGGAGACCCTGTCTCAAAAAGACAAAAAAAAAAGTAAGTTTTGTTAAAATGGCACTTTTATGCATGGTGTGTTAAACTTCTGCTTCATTACCTGACTCTGCTAGTGGATTGGCAGTTTTCCTTAAAAAGCCTGGAAACCTAAAACAGAAACAGGTTCTACAGTTGGAGACTGACTGTGTAATGGAGGCATTCCTCCAACATGTATACAGTCTGTTTACGTTTCTGCCTTCACTTCCTGTTCAGGCTAGTGTCACAATAGGTGTCAAAATTAGCAAGAAATAAACACTTTAGCATTTTCTCAGTATTTTTCTAAACATACATCTTGCCTGGGATATGTAAGTTGCTGGGATATGTGAGCACTTAAAAAAAACTCTTTATTTCCCTCTAACATGTGGGTCTATTCTTTGCCCTGACAGCAATCTTTTGGCACAGGTAACAGTGGATTACTCGTTAACCTTTCAATTCTTCAATAAGTGTTCTTCCACATAGCTACTTTTTCAGCTCAAGACAATTCTGAGTTAACGAAACAAAAGGAAACCCCATGACAGTTTCCTGGGAACAAAGTCTGTCATGTTCCCTCCTGAACCCCCAACAGAACTCTAAGTACATTTTCAAAAACCACTGCTAACAGGGAAACAGAATGCAAGAGCAAAATGTAATGTTATTATCTACTCTAATGAGTTCAAATTGCTTTCTTGATTAAAATATTTGCTTGGTTGCTATACACCTGTTTTCCAAACTTCCAGAAAAATTGGTGCTGGCTCCCAGTGTTTCTAGGGAGAAGTGTACCCCTGGGCTTTCCTACTCACATTTTTCCATTGTTCATACTTTCCAATGTGAACAGTTGTATCAATTATCATGAGTGCATGCCGCACAATTTTCTTATCATGCTCAATGTAAGATTTTACTTTCTGTTAACATACTGTATTAGATTCTCCAGCTATATGATCAAATATACTCATCTATTCACAACATGTTTGCAAAAAAATTCCTAAATGAATTCATATGGGTTATATAGGAAGCCTGGGGGCCAAGAGATGCATACTTATGCAATTATGACTGCTTATATAATGCTCACCCCTTTCCAATCATTAGAAAAGTATTATTAGACATTATATATTATTGATCTGATCCATTATGGCTTCTTGCTAAAGCATAAGTACCTTGTTTTGATATTTTAAGCTTAGTGAACTATGTGCATACCAAAGAACATGAAGACTCAAAGCCTCTCCAAATATTTTGCCTCTAGAGGCTTTGGCTAATACATTTGCACCTATTGCCACCTCCTTTAAACACAGTGTATAATGTCACTGATCTGAAAACAATGATGTGCCAGGTCTTATTCTAAGTGACCACTCCTTTCATACATCCTTAGGGAAGTTGTCACAAAATCAAAGAAAATACGTGTCAAGCTCTGGTTACAACCAGTTCTAATCTCAACTCACCATGCCTGCTAAACTGTGACAAGGACTAGCATTTGATGTGTGAAAGAAAATTCCTATCTACTCACATGAATACATATTGCCAGGGGCTGAAGAGCATGTAACCGTCTAGTCATCGGATGTCAAAACATGAAACTTCGAGATGGGCTTTTTCTATCAGGACTTTCTAAGAAGGAAAGTAATGTTTATAATTTTAATTAGAGATTGTTACTATATAATGAAATTTTAATGGGAATTTTCAACATGTGATATAGGTTAAAAGTGGTTCTGCAGGATGGAGCACAGCAGTTACAAACCAATTATAACTGCAGCAAAGGCAATGAAAGCATATATTATGAATGTAGTTTTGTACATGCTGTATTCTAGAAGCAAACTACTTCAGTCACTCTTGTTTACCTGTAGCACACTCCAGAAATGATTTGAGTTTATTCCCTTATAGAGCCACTTCCCTAAATGCAATTCTTTACAATTTTTTTACAGAAATATAATTATATAATTTTTAAAGGTATGACATTCTGAAGAAAAACCCATTTATAAAAAAGATTTATTTTTAATTATGTATGTGTGGGTATGTGCACGAGGGCAGGTGCCCACAGAGGTTCGAAACATTGGATCTCTCTATGTTGGAGTTACAGGCAGTAGTGAGCTGGTGGCCATGGGTGCTGGAAAGAGAACTTAGATTCTCTACAGGAGCAGTATTCTTGACTGCTGAGCCATCTTTCCTGCCCCTGAAAACCTTTGTAATCACTGTACTTATTTTTCATATTCAGAGGAAGTACAAAATATTGGCTATAAAAATCTTACTAATATGGGAAAAATACCTATCTCCTTTTCCATCATAGACTCTAAGAATGACAGACCTGTCTGTCGCCACGATTATGTACTATGAAGCTTCCGAGAGAGATTAAACATGTTTTGGCAATATCATTTACTCACCTGCATACTAACTAGAAGATGAGGTTTAGGGGACAACAAAGAAGTAATTAAAATAAAGTGTTTATTACTTTAAAAACTAGCAACACATTCTGTTTGCATTTCCAGAAGAACTTCACTCTTGGGACTATAGAAATATTAGATGGATTAAGAATTATAATTCATGTGCCACTAAGGAATAGGCATCAAACCAAAAATTAAGTTGACCTGGTTTTCTGTAAATGCCATTTCAATATTGAATTTACTAATCTGTGAACAGACTAGGGAAATTAGTGTTTTAATAAGATATGGCAGTATATATGATAAAGTTAATGCAATTTTGAATTACCATGTAATTTTCAGGGAATATTATCATGTTTTGAAAAGATAACTTTCTCTAAGCACACGTACTCCCCTGGGTACAACTCGATAAACATGTCCCACTACACTTTTATATTTCACTTCTCCACAGAAATTCATAGGCACAAAATAAATAAAGTCAACAGAGAAACATCTGGTTTTTGTTTGAGGTAATACAGCCAGAATTCCCAGTGGACAAAATGTTCCTTGCTATTCCAATCTTAATGAAATTAAGTAGTAAGTCTTAAAAAGAAAGAAAAAAAAAAGATAAAACTTACTGAACTGAAAAATGAAATTTTTCTAAAATCTACCTTTGAGCTGCAGTCCAGAATTAAAAATACAGGCTTGAAAGTTGGAAAGCCTGGTTCTAAGCTCAACTTTCTATTTTTGGCTGTTGGCTGTCTTTTATTATTCCTTTAACTCTCACATGCAAATCTCGCTCTATTTCATGTCCAATTTAAAAGATGTTGTGAGGAAATAATTCTGTAATGTATGTGCATATATTTTATAAACTAAAATAGTATAAAAGGCAACAACCTTTACACTTCTATATTTTACTTTTCAAGAAAGTTGCACTGATTCATGCTAAGAAAACCAACCTTTCATAGGGGCTCAGGAAATGTGGCTTTGATAAGTCAGATGCTTCCAGTAACCAAAGGAAAAACATAACCCACTATGACCATTTTCCTTTTGCATTTATGGATGACACTTCTAAAGATGAAGAAATATGGACAATCTGATATATTGCTTCTACTGCTGATTCATTTTGAGACATGCTGAGGTAGTGCATGTTTGATTTAGATTTAGATTTCAAGAAGAAAGCTCCTTTCCCTAGGTCAGGGATCTGTACTGTCAGTAACAGTCATCCAGCTCTTTCTTCCACATACATCACGACCTGGTTATGAGTAAGAAGGAAAAGACACTTTTGTAACAGTGCACGTCCTTTATAACTGAAACTGTAGCAGGAATAATTTTCCATACAGGACATATTTTCATGCATATGCTTTATCCTTGTACATACGAGTAATTCTTTTACATATATTCCATGGATTTTCTTTACAAACACTGTGGTTTCCTCTACTAATGAGTAAACAGTTCTAAACATGAATTCATACCTACATTGTCATTTACTTCACTCCAATGGCATACACTGAATATAATATACTGAAAAATGTTTGGATATTTTCATTGAGGATTACTGAATGATACTTATCCATTTCTATAAACTAAATTTACTAAGAAAACCCACAGTTTAAAAAAAGCATACAAGAATAAGCTAGCATATCACAATGAACAAAGAAATGAAATAAAGAATTCAAAATATTTTAATGTCCGGAACAGTCTGTCTTCATGGTAAACATTCACTTTATGCAAATCCCTCTTGGCTTCATTTAATTAAAAAGCTGAAAAAGAAAGAAAATTATTATTCACTGAATATAAGAAAAACACAACAGGCTATTTATCCCATTCTAAATTAGCACATGTAAACATGACAAAAATGTCTTAATTCGCCTACCTGTAACTTTTATACTAAGGTACAGTTTTGAAACTAGTTCCTATAATGGCATCAGGTTTATGGTGAGGAGGGGGTCAGAGGTGACAGAATATGCATGAACTTAAGCAACTGTTAAATCAGCAAGGAAAATGGATTTGGGAAAAATAACGGAATGGACTGGGAGAAATGCTTGAGTTTAAGTCCTAATGAAAATTTCACTTTCATACTGAGTTTATAATTCATTTGCTTAAACAAAACAGTAATTTCATAAACACTTGGTGTTTTGGTACTGTAATCAACAATCTCATGTTAAAGAACCCAAAATAAACATAAATGAAACTGTGACTAGAGTATGATGAAATATCTGCACAAACAGATGTCTCCATAAATAATAGTAAATGGTCACTATTTATTAAGTTCCCTAAACAGAGCTTCACTTTATGAATAAACGGTCAATTTAAATAACTATTCCTAATCTTGGCTGATATTTGTTCCTTCCTGTCAACAACAAAGTCTTGACAATATAAGCTTGCAAGGTAAGAAACAAAGCTATCTTTTAACAAAATACTAAAGCAAAAATGAAACCAAGGGTTATTACAGCTGAAAAGACATTGTTGGGAAACTGTTCTAACTGTTAAGTTTAACATTTGGATGTTTAAGTTATATCCTTAGACATTATGGCTTTGTCATTCTGAATCTCTGTTTCCTTATTAGTGAAAAAAACACTTGTTTCCAAAGTTCTTTCTAGGACTAATGATTTTATAATTCTTGTGGCATATACTAAAACATGTAATTTAAAACACATATTTATAAAATATGTAATACATATATCTTTAAGAATATACAAATATAA